GGCGAGATGCACAGTACTCTTTGGGACCTGCAACAAACAAGGTTCTGGTTTAGGGGTTGAGAGTTGTCATTGTATCGAAGAGGATCCTCCAATGCCGCTATTTCATCCATCGTCAATCATATATATGTCCATGAGCAGTCGCCCATGATGCCATCCATCGCTCCGCAACTCGGTTATGCAAATATCCCTAAAGTACAAACAGGCTCGAATCGAAGGCGCTTTACATTCCGTGCTTCTTCAGGTACTCGCCGAGCTCAACTACGGAGTTGAAGGCGTTGGGAGTCTGGATGGTGTCGGGGTGGTGGGCGATGATGACGGCTTGGGTAGTCTTGAAAGCGACGATGCCCTCTTTTCCCTGAGGTCGTTGTCAGTGCTTGAACACTTGATGGTGGGCAATGTCTGGCACCTACCTTCTTCGCCTTGAGCGAGTCGTCGCTTGCCTCGATGGTCATGTACTTGACACCGTTGACCTTGACACCTTCCGAGATGACCTTCTTGGGCTCTGACTTGTCGTTGAAGGATTTGGCGATGGCAGCCCTTTCCTCAGCGGACAGCTGTAATTGGTCAACACCAATCTATTGTTTATGCGCCACCGGAGCTCTGATTCTGGAGTACTCGCTGTGTCCGGCGCGTATTGTATCGGACGACTTACCGAGAAGTCGGCGGAGGCGGCCCAGGCAGTCGAGCCCTCGATGTCGCAGATGAGGGCCTTGTCGATGTTACCAGTGCCGACGAGGCTGTGATAACGTTAGTCATGGACAGGTGATAGATTGGGAGGCTTGATGTACCTGGTGTCAACGTATTCTGCGCTCAAAGTTAGCCAGGACCTTCCAAACTCGACGCCTCGAGCTGCTCACCTTGCCAGGACATGGTTGCGGAGGGTTGATGTGCGTGCTGTGGAAGCTTGTGGTGATGGGAAGACGAAGAGGGATGCGGCGAAGTAGATGCAGGTACTTTTGACTAAGCAGAGCAAGAGGGTAAATGCGGTGAGGGTGTTCAAGGCTGCGTTGTTGGGCTAAAGTTGCGATTTGATAGTGGGGCTGTTTTGACCCCGCCTCTCGCGATGAAATCTAACGGACGCAATTCACTCCTCCAATTCCAGCACGCAAACCTCTGAGCTTCTAATCTGACGACCCGTCACGCGTCCTACTTGCGCTATCATGCAGCTGCTTACTTGGTGGGGGTCACCACTGCCCTCGATGCCTAACGCGACGGCACTGAGCGCGCCGCATTTAGCTATGCCCACCGCGATACCCGCCTAGTATCCGCCGCGCTCTGGGGTCGAGGACGGATAGCGGGTCAGAGTGCTGGCAATTCAGCAGTCGCTCCAACAGTCACGCAAGAGCGGACACTGGAACCGTCCATGTCCAGGTCCTTCACACGTCTACTATTTAACCCGTCTCTGGCCTGTTTGGAAGCAAACGTTGAAATTGCAGACATGGCAAATCGAGCTCCGCGGCAGATATGAAAACGTATTAGCTGGAGTTTGAGGGACGACTGGCTTTTCATCATGCACCTTGTGCAAGCTGTACAAGCTGGCGATTCAATTCTCTTCCCACATTGCCGATCTATTCCCTGTGGTGGCCCTTGACTATGTGATGGCTGTTTGCGAACACGTCCCGCTAGTCACGTGCCAGCGCTAAGACGAGCTTGAAGCTTGGAGCTACCATCCAAAAGTTACGTCGCGTTAGACATGACCAACAAAGTAACTACAAGCCCAACCACCGAGTGTACATTGAAGAGCACGCGATAGGACACTGCTACGACTGAAATTGCGCGACAGCCAAGACATGCCATCTCGTTCTCCATCTCCCGCACGCTCGCGCACGCGCAGCCCTTCTCGCGACCCGTCGCACACAACATCACCCAGCCGCCCTCGGTCGGCGCAGTCAGGCTCGCCGCGCCGCTCCGTCACCCCTCGCTCGCCTACACGGTCTCGTTCAATTACTCGATCGCGCTCGCCGACATCACCGTCTCCACGGCGCAATGGGCGACGGAGCTACACACCAGAAAGCAGATCGCGCTCGAGAGGCAGAAGTTATTCCCGGAGTTTGACTCCAAGAGATCGGTCGCCAGCACCTAGAAGCGCAAAGGTAAGCATACTCCCTGTGCTAGACGCAACTTTCAGAGCTGCCTTGCCTCAGCCTTCCTGCACCAGCACGCTGACCCACCAACAGATCGTAGTTGAAGCCTTGACCAGGAACGTCAAAGAAGACCACGTGCGGGAGATATTCGGAAAGTACGGTGTCATCAAGGAACTCACCATGCCCATGAACCCCACCTGTATGTTTCGCCCTACCTCCCCACAGAGCAGGACTGACTATTGAACAGTCAACATCAATCGCGGCATAGCCTACATTCTCTACGAGGAGATCGACGACGCCGAACGCGCAATCGCGAAGATGCACGACGCACAATTAGATGGAGCCAAGATCCAAGTTTCCATTGTCCTTCCCCGCCGTCGTTTCTCACAGACACCTCCGCCCGCGCGTAGAGGCCCGCCGCCACGCGACGACTACGAAGGTGGCTATGGGCGCGGTGGACGGGGACCGAGGGGCGGAGGCCCACCTGGCGCGTACAGGCCACCACCTATGGATGGCCGTTATCGATCTCCACCGCGTCGAATGTCGCCCGATCGAGGTCACTGGGGTCGGGGCAGAGGCGGAGGCGGTCGTGGTGGACGAGGGGCCTACGGAGGACGGCCACGGTCGTACACACGTTCTCGCAGCCGGTCACCACGACGAAGCCTATCGCGCTCTTCTTACAGTCGCTCGCCATCCAGAACACCACCAAGACGAAGTGGGGGAGGAGGCTATGGCAGGCGGGACAGTCCACCAAGGAGGGGAGGTCGCGCGGGTGCAGGCGGCGGAAGGAGGAGTCCAAGCTATAGCTCCTATGGCAGCGACCGGAGTCGAAGCAGAGACCGCAGATGAGAGACGCAAGATTGTCTTCATTGTCGGCTGGAAAAGCCTAGAGGCATCCGCACAGTCAAGTAGGAGCTCGGTTGGACTATTCGGTTGGCCAGACCAATGGTATACATTAATTGAAATCGGTCGCAGGCTCAGTTGGGCGAAGTCCATCTTGCCTTGAAAGAAGTTTCCTACATGCCCACGCGTCTTCGCAATCAATCAGGTCATCTTCAACTGAAATCCTGCTCCCTTCTCTTCTTCCTCTCTGCCCTTGAAAATACTACTAAAATCCACGTTGCCCTGCATTCCGGGCGCCTCTCCTCTCTTTGGCGCATTCGGACTCTTCTTCCTTCTCCTCTCCTGCCCGGCCTTGCTTGGAAACGTGGGAAACATCTCGGTCGGTTTCGGCTTGGGTTGCTCTCTGAAGTAAGGATGCTCCAGTACTTCTTTCGCTGTAGGCCTATGGTCTGGATTCAGGGATAGCAACGAAGAGAGGAGTTCAATGCCAGACGCTGTCAAGAAGGGAAATTTTGCACGGTTGAAGCCTGGGGCGCTGCGGTGGTCGCGTGGTAGCTTTAGTGATTTGGAGTTGGGCAGGCGGTAGAATTGTGGCCAAGACTTCTCTGATGGGAGACCACAAAGGGAGAAGATGAGTGAGAGCTCGTCGACCTCGTTCTTGCCTTGTAGTAACGGCTCTTTTGCAAGCAGTTCGCCGAATATACAGCCTACGCTCCACATGTCGACTTCCGTCCCGTAATCTCGAGTCCCTAGTAGAAGTTCAGGCGCACGATACCATAGCGTGACGACCAGTTGTGTGAGGGGTGCGTTCGCCGGCGGGATGTATCGTGCCATACCAAAGTCTGCAAGCTTCAGCTGGCCACGGTTGTTGAGTAGGATGTTTGATGTCTTGAGATCGCGGTGCATGATGAAGTTCTCATGCAGATAGCCGACGCCAGAGACCAACTGTCGTAACAATGTCTTGACTTCACTTGCCATGAATGGCTCACTCATGTCTTCTTGTAATGTCTTGAGGTCATGTTCGAGGAAGTCCATGACCAGGATACATTCTTGCGGGTCGTCACCAGATAGAACCTCCAGAAGATCGACGACATGGGCATGTCTGCAGCGTTGCAGGATGGAGATTTCTCGTAGCGCGGTGATAGGGAAACCGTCTTGGTTGTAGTCCATTTTGACTTTCTTATGGGCGACCACGGAGCCTGTAGTGATGTCGCGCGCTCGTGAGACCCAGCCGTATGAGCCTTCTTCGATCTGATTGAGGGTCTCGAAGTTGGAAATATGTCGACAAGGGTTCCAAGCTCCGCCTTGAAATCGCAGGAGCTTCCTCTCGGTCTCTTCTTCTTTGGGCTTTGCGGCTCCCTCGTCATCGTCGCCTGTTGATAATCTCCTGCGCTTTGCAGGTCTCGATTCCGCCTCTTGCGTTGTTCGTGAGGCTGCTTCCGCCTCTTGATGTTTCTGAAGCTTCAGGCGTTTCTTCTCTTCTTTCTCTTTCTTCCGACGCGCTTCCTCGGCTTTGTCTGCTTCATCATTTGCCCATCGTGATGCCATAGCTCTTTCTCTTTCCTTTCTGACCAAGAGACCGACTTCCACTATTATCTATGTGCAAAGGCGTGTATTGAGGTTAAGTTGGTTTGGTTTTCCCAGAAGGACCCGGTTGGTGTGTTTCCGTGTAGATGGCGCTGGTTGGACCGATAGCACGTGTGAATCGTTAAATGGTGGTCATAGCTTCGTTCACGTTGGCGTTCCGATCTAAACTTTCTGTAGTTCCGAACGCGCCAACGTCATGGAGCTTCGATAAACAAGACCGACATGAGGACCAAACCTCTGAACCTACTGCGGACAGCGACACAGTGTTGTCGATCGGTACCACGACAAACGTCGATCCGAATAACGAAATGTGCCTCCCGGTGGTCGTCGACTTCTGCCTCTACATCTTCCGACTCGGAACGACAATGGTCGACGCCGCTGGCGAAGACGCTGGCTGAAGCTATTACAGTATGAGTCCCCTTCCCAGTATGAAAGCAAGTCTAACATTAGCTTCAGACGACAGGTCCAATCTCGGTAGCGGCGTATATGCGACAATGCCTCACTCACCCCGATGGCGGTTACTACACAAGACAAACATCGACTGGACAGGATCAATTTGGCACAAAGGGTGACTTTGTGACATCGCCAGAGATCAGCCAGGTATTTGGCGAGCTTATTGGTATATGGCTATACGCAGAGTGGCTTGCCCAAGGAAGGAAAGACAAGGTGCAGATAATCGAGGTTGGGCCCGGACGAGGAACGCTAATGGACGATGTACTGAGGGTATGGTTCTCTGCCAATAGTAGAGAATGCGAAGCATGCTTACAGGATGGCAGACCATATCTAGTTTCAAGGCTTTCACAAATAGCATCGAGGCTATTTATCTCATCGAAGCATCACCTTACCTACAGAAACAGCAAGCAAAGTTGCTGTCTGACACCGATGATCTGAAGAAGAGCGACATTGGTCTAACCGCACAATGCAAGTACATGCCTTCCTGCAGGATCGAGTGGTGTGAAGACATCAGGCTGGTGCCAAAAGGTACGCGCTCGACTTTACTCTCTTCATCAACAGCGTACTGACAACATACACAGAGCATACGGCAGCGCCTTTCATACTAGCCCACGAGTTCTTTGATGCACTTCCAATCCACGTCTTCCAGAATATCTCTCAATCTTCGGTGCCTGCCTCATCGACCATCATCACGCCAACCGGCCCTATCAAACCCAAGCACGGCGTGACAACCCCCAAGAATACCTGGCATGAGCTGGTTGTGTCGCCAACTTCGCCGTACTCGGATATGGGCGCAAGTGGCCCTTCGCCAAAGAAAGGGGATGAAAAATTGGACTTCGAATTGACCGTTTCGAAGACACCGACGCCACACTCCTTATACCTGCCGAAGTTGTCTGATCGCTACAAGAAGCTAGAGAATACTCCAGATGCGATCATCGAGATCTCGCCTGAATCTTTTGCCTACGTATCTGACTTCGCTGTACGGATAGGCGGCAGCGCTCCTAAGCCTAGCAACACCTCAGCATCCCATACTTTCTCGAGCAGAAGTGCTCCTGTTGAGGAAAGCTTCGTAAAAGCGCAGCCGTCTGGTGCAGCTTTGATCTTGGATTATGGACCTTTGGATACTATCCCAGCGAACACTCTCCGGGGCATTCGCTCACATACCACTGTCTCGCCTTTTGCATCGCCCGGTCTGGTAGATCTCTCGGCTGATGTGGACTTTCTCGCCCTTGCAGATGCAGCTTTAGATGCTTCTCCGGGTGTTGAGGTTCACGGACCCGTTGAACAGTCTTTCTTTTTATCGACAATGGGCATTAAGGAGCGCGCTGATCGCTTACTTAAGGCTGCTAAGGATGAAGATACGCGAAGACGCTTGGAAACAGGCTGGAAGCGACTTGTCGATAGAGGGCCAAACGGCATGGGTAAAACGTACAAAGCTATGGCTATCGTGCCCTATAAGAAGCAAAGCCCAGTCCGACGGCCGATCGGGTTTGGCGGAGACATCGTTGGCTGAACAATATGATAGCTACCAAATCAACAGTTTTAGCCTTGGACATTAGGTGATAGGCGTCTGATGACTAAATACGATATGTATTCCCATACTGCGTGCCGCAGTTGATTGCATCCGATTGATCGATCGAATTTCTTCAATGTTAGTTCCACTCGACTGGCTCTCACGATGGAATGATACTTCGCATAGCCATCCTACCATGATTGATGCGCGATACTTCCATCACCGGTACCCTACGTAAGAGAAAGACCATCCTATGGGTACACTCATCTTGCAAGGAAGTCTTGGTGTCTTTGAAGGACAGCATCGAGGAGAGGATTCCTTCTGATCGTAGAAGGAAAGAACAACGTCACGGATGAATGGACGAGTGCTCTGCACGTCAATGATGTTAAGACAATTTACTCCTGAAAACTCCAAAAGAATAGAGTTTAAATCGTATAAGGGGGCATAAAAAGGGAAGAATCTACATACAAAACATACTAATAAAAATCGTTAGAACACACACTGGCATCGCTAGCCCTCCGACGTCTTCCCTTGCCCAATATCATACCCACATTCAGTGCACATCCCTGAGGCACCTCGTCGTCTTCAGGCTCACCCCGCTCCCAGTCCTCAATCTCATCTTCAGCAAGTTCTTCATCGATCACGTCGAAACGCGCAGAATTGAATCCTGCGTCCCCGAAAGCAGAATACATAGACTGGCGCTGCGGCTTCGGGAAGACAGAAGCGTTGTCATCCTCATATTCAGCGAACGGTTCGGGGTCAGGATGGCTAGATAGAAGCTGTCTGTACTTCTCCATGCGCTCTTCTTGCGTCTCAATGTGGTCATAGATCGGGTTGTCGAGAGGATCTATGTATCCCGTGCAAGAGGATGGGCCGCCGGTGTAAGACGCGATCGTGTGCGCTGTGGTTGCGAGTGATCGGCGGGAGATCATTGAAGCGGGAGGATTGAGGAAAGAGTTCTCCTGCCTGGTAGAACCCGCGACTGACGGTTGTGGCACAGGCCTGCGTCTGATCTGTAATGGAGCTGGACGGTCGTCCGAATTGTGGTGCCGAGGAAGGCGAACGGTAGGGAGGCTCATGGTATCATCAGGCGTGATAGTCCTTTCTGGATTATGCGAAGCCATTGACTCGTTATAATGCCTTGACGCGTTTGTCGATGAGCGAGAAGGTATGAGTCCAGGCTGGTTTCGCAAAGCCGGATGGACATCTTCTTGGTTGTGAGGAATAGTGTATACCCGCTTACGCATACCGGGCATCTCAAAACCAAGATCCTCGGCCTGTGACTTGAGCTTAGTGTCTGGAGGCCGGGGATTAGGACCCAGTTTGGGGTCGAACAGGCTCGGAGCTGTTAGTTCTTGTTCTCGCCGCCGTCTTACAGTTCTGGTCGAGGCAGAACGGCTAAAAGTGCGCTGATGAGCAGGGACGGTAGATGAACCTAAACTTTGACAGGGCATCGGACCGACGGAAGTTTTCTGCGTTCTCGTGCGGCTATGTGCACGAAGGTGGCGGTGTTGCTCATGCTTCCACTGAGCCCGAAGATGTTTGAGATCCATGCCCAGATCGCATGCTCTTAACATATTGCTTTCTCCACTCGCCTTCCTGACCCAGTAACGCACGAATCGAAGACGTTTGCTCTTAGTGCTGTCCCAGCCAGCAACGCTACGGATCGCATCCATTGTCGTGAACGCCTTGCTGTTGAAGCGACCGACCATACCGGCGAACAGAGCAAAAAGAACATCCGAATCTGATCCCATCCGCGCCATCATACAAGCCGGGCATTGGTCTGCCTGATAGTGCCACTTCGATCCGCACTGAATCGGCTCATGACCAGGGGGAGCGGAAGCACCCGAACTAAAGTTGGGTTGCCACATCCGTAGCACAGGTTCTAGTTGACGGACTTTCAACTTCTGATCCGTCGTTAGAAGGCCGTGGGTCATTACAAGTGGATAGAGAAACTTGCCGATGGCGCCATCGTATTCGTGACGGATCCATTTGAAGATGTCATTGACAAGATTTTGGTTTAGGCCCTTGTGTGTCGTGCACAGGTTCGTTGAGCCGAAAGAGAGCCGCGAAGCGCGTAGCCGGCTAGGAAGCCGTTGTATAGCTTCCTTGGTATGTTTACGATACAGCGCTTCCTTGCGCTCATCGCGCAAATCATTGGGAGTAGGGACATGCCGAAAAATACGGACAAGTCTCTTCATGTCGCTGTTGTGGAGCCGGCGAGTCTCCATCCTGTGTAGGAATGAAGGCATCGTGAAATGTTGTGAGATGTCTTTGTGGTTGTAATGCATTGTGGGTGCCTTGTGATAATGGTTGTGTTTGGTCTGTTGTAAACATGGAGGAATGTGGAGAGGTTAAGAACACGCACGGGACGTTTGCAATGAGACAGAGTGGTTTCATGATGCAGCGTATATTGCGAGTGATAGGGCGCGGCTGTGTAGTATGTGAAAGTTATCAGTGTGTGTATATCATAGGACAAGCGAAAGAGGAAGAAACAACTCGAACTCAATAAAGTATCAGTAGAGATACCTGCTCATATGATCTGTTGGAGTGAAAGACAGTATCGGTGAGACACTATCAGTAAAGCAGCTAAGGCTGATTGGCACCAACGATCGAAACAGCGCAACGTGAAAAGCCGTCGCTAACGAGCGAAGGTTGTAGTATTTTGAATGGGAACTCAAATTCGATGTAATCCAACCGTCCAGCAAACGCCGTCCCAGAATCGTACAGTCCGTGAATGAATGACGACAAGATACAGGCCGTATTTCAGAAATAGCAGGAGAATATGCACCAGTGATGCAATGCAGCGGATGTGATAGAACCATCCGGAAGTTATACACCCGAGACTATACATTACCTGCTGCAACAGCATGATGTTTGTTTACACATAAAAAAAAAGTACAGATTAATGTGAGCTTTCCAACCCCAGAACATTGGCTCTCCTGCCGTGCAGGTTTTGATTGACCTTGTTCGTCAAATCTTTGAAATTTGTGCCAGCCGTTGATGAGATGCTGCTAGCCTTCTTGCGCGAGATGCGAGGTGTCGATGCGCCTTGTGGCACTACACCCTCGTCCTGTGTCAGGCCCGAGGCTGCCGCGGTCGACATGGGTACTGCAGTAGCTTCGTTCTCTTTTTCTTGGTCGACCTTCTGCTGTGCTGTAAGACGAGCACGCTCATATTTGGCAGTCACATCGCCTTTGTACATTGTCCCGCCAAGTCGGTCGAGGTATACGAAGAAAGGTTGCGAAAAGTTGGTCTTGATACCCCAGCTCTGGTGATGAATGTCGTGGTAAGCGGCATTGTTGGGGAAGATCCAGTGGATAGGGTCGTAGGGGAATGCGTAACCGCCGTGATCAAGCACTGTCTTGATGGTAGAGCCAGTGAAGAACCACATCGACTGTCGCATTGTCATGCCGGTAAGCAGATAGCTCAAGCCAGCACCCAGGGTATCGAGCGCGAACCCTTCGATCGGGTGGTTGTACAGAGCGCCGTAGGCATATGGCACATAGAGACGGTGATGCCGCGAATGGAACGTTACTGCGTGGGTTAACAAAAGTCGAAGAGCATGACACGGGTTGGAACTTACCATATAACCATCTGTTCAGGTGCATGGCACGGTGCAGCATGTACTCCCACGCGTCCATGATGACTATGGCAGCACTGAACTGGATGGCAGGTATGGCATACCAGTACGCAAAGCTAGCCACGGCCATCTCCCAAGAAGCAAAGGCGGGGACGAGAGTCTGCTCGCCCGCAACTGTCGCTGTCTGCAGCAGCGCGGGGTATTTGCCTCCGATGACAACGGAAGAAAGTATCGGCTGTGAGGTAGCGACCTTGGAAGCCAGCGCGATCGGGTTGACACCTACCGCAGACAAGACGTAAGGAACCGCGCGCTGGGCAAGTCTGAGCTTCTGCGCGTACCAAGCCACATCGTACTCGGCTTTGCCGGTTGTCGGCGCCTCGTCGATTAAAGAAAGGCTGAAGGATGCGAGAATCTGAATGACTTGCTGGAGTATGACGTCGCGCAGCACTTCGTAGCGTGAAACATGGTTGCGCTTCAGAACCTCTGCTGGCGTGTGCAGCCGATACTGCGGGAAGAAGTCGTACACGTCAATGACGTGGAAAACCAGGGAGACAACCCAGTATCCGACGACAGGCAGTGCGGCTTGTATGAATGCATCGGAGACCCACGACGTGAGAGGCTGAAGGGGCTCGAGGGTGTATTCGGGAAGCGGCGGGAGGTCGTAGGACGTGATGTTTGCGCTCGCCATGATGCGGCAGCGGTGCGCTAGGAGAGCGGATTATCGATTACAACTGTATGTATGCGAGACTGAGGAGTTGCGCAGCGCAGCCGGCGAAGACGTCGAAGGTGCAGCGTGCTCGAGGCGAGATCGCGGTGCTGGGCCAGCTATGGGGTGACAAAGACGGAGCCGGAAGCCGCGGACCAAGGAAATTAGGGAGAAGGCGCGATGCGACGGACGAGTGATGTCGGTATTCGGGCTGGAGGGCGGATGGCGCGCAATTGACCAGTCGAGCTCAGAAAGGAGAGGCTGAGGTGGGCGGAGCGAGGGTTGGGTGAAAGTCGTGTGAGAGTGGTGCAGCAGCGTGCCTGTGACAGCACCAAGGCATGACGGGGGTTTACGATATACGCGCGCATCATGACATTTCGCCGCCGGGCGCCCGGGCGGGCCTAGTCGCTCAGCCACTTCCACTTCCACCCCTTGCGGTTAGCGCGCTTTTCACACCCAATTTTCGACCCCACCAATTTCTCCTTCACGCCTACAGGCCAGCGCTTCTTTTCCGCTCCAGTCTTCAACCCCTCGCCTGCCCGCCCCGACCAACCTACACTCTTTCTACACATCCCCAGACCCTACTTCCCTCTACCGCCAACATGATCATTTTCAAGGTACGTTGTGCCTGCGCTGGGTCGCTCTTACCTGCGCCCTACCCCGCCTTCCCTGCTGCACTTGATGCTGCTTTGCGCATGCAAAGAGCCTCTT